CCAAAAACACACTGATATCAAAGCTTCGTAGATCATGCACAGACCATTCTTTGACAATTGTAATGGATCCATCACAAAATATAAACAGCGCATGAAAAGTTAGAATAGAGACGGAATGTACAAGGAAAGAGCTCTGACTGCCAACCAGTTTTATTTCGATAAGAAGGGTGTGTGCACAAGCTAGAACGCAAGGCAGAGGCTACGAGACGAGGGAAAAAAAGGCTGCTCACATTATTGCTACATCATCTGACAAGCTTCGAGCATACGACTACTTACGCCTTAACGCCAATCTTCTGTAAATCGCATAACATTGCTGCCGGTTAATCTAACTCAGGAGGTCGGCGGATCGGCTTTCAGCTCTCCCATAGTGGAATACCAAGTACTCTAAGTCGTTAACTGCTTTTTCTAAACACTCATGACACGGCTCGTCTCATGCGAAGTTGCGGGGCGTATAATTTATTTCATCCCACACGTGTGTGGAAAACTGTTTTCGGTAAAACTGGCTTGAATAACCAATTGCACGGGCATCGCAGTAGTAAAGTACATCGTTCTCAAAATTTTCTAATATTTGTTCTTAACAGAATAGCATCCTTAACACATCTAGATCCATTGCCGTGACAATCGGCGTGTGTGTACCAGTCGTTTCAACGAGGGCTCAGTAACGGACAAGCATAGGTTTCAGTTAACTCGCCAAGTTATCGAGGCTGAGTTGATAAACATGCTGGGTTAAATGCGTGTTAGCCACCTTCTATCGCGCTTTGAAATCAAGAAATTGATTACCCTTTTGGCCTTTAGGGCAAAGGTGATTGCGTGCTCGAAGCCCAAAGGTGACGTAGAAAAGTATCCGACCACATTACTTTTCTATTATTTTTATCCTCCTTGCCTTGTATAATCGCGCTTCTTATCAAAATAAAACTGGCTGGAAGCGAGTGATTTTGGCACTATTTGTTCTGTCTCTCTAGCTTTGTGTGCTTTGTTAATATCTTGTAGTGGGTCCATGTCATATAGACGAGGCAGCATCATGGAGTTGGGAGAGCAGCTTCTTCGTCGGATTCCGAACATTAGGCGTGGTATAGCGGTGATGCGGCCACAGACGGCGTTAGTCTGGAAGTCCTGACCAGCAGTTGGTCCGCCTGTGATCTGAGCGACTCTTTCTATGCAGTATGTCTCCCCATACATCTCTTAAGCTTGTCTCTAGCGAAAAACGTTAATGAACGATCGCCCCTTCCTTGCGAATTATCCAGCTAGCCTATTGGTTCTGGCCTTGCCCCTCTAGGACAAGACACACAAATTTTCATTTTCGTCAAAGGGAATTCTGTGAAACAAATAAAGGCACAATTGAAATCTAAACTTTCTTGAGAAGTAGGGGAAACGATTTGGTTAACGCTGAAGTCTTTGTCATTCTCTCATATACTTTGAAGATCTTCTATATATATAAATCTACAGGCGACACAAGTTTGCCTCATTGCTCTTAGGTGGCACGTAACCTCATGATGAATATTATAACAGACAGTAATTATTCAGTAGCCGTAAGTCAGCACTGATCGAGATAACCCTGCAGAGTGCACGGCAGCTGAAAGGGCGAAAACAACAACGCGGTCTTTTGCGTTCATTCAGCGCCATGTCAGTGGAGTGGCATTTAGGTATACCTAGACAGTATGAACAGTCAAACAGGGTGATTAATGAGAATTTCAAGTGGATTTACAAAGTGCTGCATTGAGGGCCACTATGAGCACACCATTAATTGCCGTAACGTTCGTGTTTTCCCGTCTATTTTTACGTGAATCTTTTTTTTTATCCACTTCATGCAAATAGCGTTCTCTGAATGAAACCAAACAAGTTAAATAGATGGAGTAAACAACAGAGGACGGACTTCACACAGGCTGGAAATGAAGCCGTTGGCTTCGGACAACGCACCACTTCACGTTTAACTGTCCGTTTCAGATAGGAGGCCAGAAAGCCGTGTGAGCAAGATGGCGTGGTTAACGCAGCCGTGTGCCCTTGCAGCCAGACGCCCATTGTTCTTAGCAGAGGTCCGTTTTTCTCCGGGACCTCTTCACTAGCTGTGCCCACTCAGCATGATTCACACCACGTATGCCCTTCCTCGCAGCTACGTTTCTGCCAACACGAAAAGCGAGGCGGACAAACCAGCTCGTTTTCACACAATGTGCATTCAATTTTCATTCTCTCGGCGTTTCAGAGACAGAGCGGCGAAAGGAGAAGCGAGACGTGGCGATGGTCTCACTTATTTTTCGTGTTTTTTTTCATTTTCATTTCTTATTATTTTCGCGGTGACAAGTATACCAACCTAGGTATACAAGCAGTGTGGGACGCGTAGCCGTACGTACGCGACGAGGCGAAGTTCCGTTGCAACATTTCAGAATCTGGACAGAACACTTCCAAATCATTCATTTTTCAAGAGAACATAGCAACAGGAACGCGTCCATAGTCCAGTTAGACGAAATCCGATCGGCGCTACTTGCTCAGGATCGCAGGTAAGCGAGCTTTTTAGTCTGGCACGCCGGAGTTCTCGATTCCCTGTCATTACAATTTTTGTGCATGCATCGTATGTAACCGACGATTGATTGATTGATTTGATTGATATATGCGGTTTAACGTCCCAAAGCTACCATATGAATATGAGAGACGCCGTAGTGGAGGGCTCCGGAAATTACGACCACCTGGGGTTCTTTAACGTGCACCCAAATCTGAGCAAGCGGGTCTACAACATTTTCGCCTCTATCGAAAACACAGCCGCCGCAGCCGGGGTTCGATCCCGCAAACTGCTAGTCAGCAGCCGAGTGCCTTAGCCACTATACCACCATGGCGGGACGTCGTGTGCAACCGATTTATGGAACTTGGAGAAGCTGTGTCTTTTTTTTTTTTTTTCACTCCCTAAAGGGGTTCTTACTCGGCATACGTAGAATTAGGAGCGCTTTACTTCGCGACTTCAGTATTACTGAACGTGCAAGAAAGCGTGGCATTCGGCATGACACGACACGTGTTCTTGGGGCGTAACTTAAACGGCAGCACGCAACATCACATGCTTGAAAGCTTTACTTCATCAAAAGGCAGCAATGCAGAGGGAGGAACACAATCGACAGGTAATTACACCCTGGTATATATTTTTTATGTTTATTTTAACTTATCACGGCTTCGTAATGAAGTAGGCATGCCGCAGCTAGCCGCTCTGCTGTAATAACTTGGAACACTTTTAGTTCTCTACCGTCTATCTATGGATCCAAAGCACACGAAATTTCCTTGTTGTTTCGGTCGCGTTCAATTTAAACATTCTGGATGTATCACCTTTCTCCGGTAGTAGCAAACATAACAGGGCTTTAAATCTTCAAACACATTTTTTTTTTTGACCACATTTGCGCTTCATCATAGTTCAGCCACCGTGGATAGGATTGAATAAGCGCAATCGAGCGCAGCGACCCAATTCATAACAGTGGGTGTTGGATGTGAAATGCAATACGAAAATTATGCGACAGAATTAGGTTAAATTTATATAACTACATATAGCTAGATAAACGAATAAAATTGACTACAGCTAGGTGTACAAGGGAATATGCCAGTTCCCTTTGACGTCCATAACTTGAAATTCCTAAGTTGATTACGTTGTCAGGCGGTGAAAATTTTGCTGGATCTGAGTACAGTGAGTGATGCGCGTAAGCTGCAGTCCGCTTTTCACGTTAGATTTTTTTTTGACTAAGGGCTGCGAAAGCGACACATTTTCTCATATTTCCCTTTACATTTACAAAGCGAACCTCAGTCTAGCATGCCACTGCTTCATACTGACAGCCAGGCTCGAAGCAGGATCTTTATTTTTTTTTTGGGGGGGGGGGGGGTGGAGCGGCTTGCCGAATATCATGACTATTTTAGAAAAACTGATACTTTCATTAATTATTTCTGGTAAAACACCCCCTTCATCAGAATTTCGGAGAGGGGGGAGCGTTCTGGCTACAAGTCTACCGGGAGATGTTATGGAATCACCTGTAAAAGCCATTTTCCCCAAATTTTATAATGTGAGTTTCGTGGATGTACTTGAGTAGCTTTTCTTTCATGCCTTCTGTCAGTTTTTATTGTGTTTTTTCGCGTTAACATTTGCCCTGAATACAGACTGCATGTACACAGTCATTGAGCCGAGAAAATTTGTTGAACTTACGATTATAGTGATGTTGTCAAGCGCTCACAGATGCAGCAGTTTTGTACGATTGGTTACTGCGTGTAGTGATGTTGTTATATGCTTCGAGAACTCTTTTCAGGAATTTTCCCGAAATGCGTGTTATATAGTTTGAGCAAACCATGCAATTTTTAATGCTTCTCAATTACACAAGTTTTTGATGTGGTCGCCGAAGCAAAATATAACACGACCCAAGCGCACACGTGGATTAACTGCATAAGAATACTGTCGTGTGGTTACTCGAAGAAAGCTGCATACGATCGGCATCAACAATCACTTATAATGTAAAAATTTTGTGCCACTGATTTAAACCGGATAGTGAGTATGGTATTCGTCATTCATAGTAGCATCTATACAGGAATTCCTTACATATTTTCATTGTGTCGGGTCTTTTCACAATGTGTGACCCCAAGGTGATTTGGGGTAGTGGTAATGAAAAAAATTAACATGTTATCAGAGTGGTCTTATGATGACCTCATTGTTTTCATTCGTAATAACTGACAGCAGCTATTTTTAACCATATTTAGGTATTTGAAAATTAGCTGACATTTCAAAATTCGTAACAAAAATTGTCTGCATTTCGAAGTCAACGAAGCTCGAAAATTGAACTATTTCAAGATTTCTGTTTCTATAAGCCGAGTGAATAGAAAACCTACGACACCCATGCCAGCACAGGGCATCAAACACCCTGTCGTAAATTGATACAACAAGCACTTGCTTAGGCTGATTGACATTACCTTATTTTTTGTTACTAAAACGACGAAAATGAGCTGGTGATTCAAGGCAACTTACATAGTTATCTCGTTTTTTCCAGGTTCGGGCGAACCAGTATGCCTTTCAGCCTCCAACCCAAAGTGTGGCTCGACAAATTGCACGCCATCTCGGATCCCAGAACCCGAGACTATCCGGTGGTGTTGAATCCATTTTTCGTCACGCTGATGCTGGTCGCCTACCTGTACTTCGTCAAGGTTGCCGGACCGCGATGGATGAAGAACAGGGAACCATTTCAGATCACAAACATCATCCGCGTGTACAACATCACCCTGGTCATTGTGAACATCGTCGCCATCTTTGTGATTCTCATTCCCACGTACCTGCCCGGAGGAACGTACAGCCTGCTGTGCCAGGGCCTGACCGGAAAGTCCCCAGAGCATCACCTCAAGTTTTACAAGTACGGCTGGATTCTCGTCGCCTGGCGATACGCCGATCTCCTGGACACCGTCTTCTTCGTTCTGCGCAAGAAGTTCAATCAGGTGACCCAGCTCCATGTCATCCACCACACCATCGTGGTCATCAACGTCTGGTTCTACACCCGCTTTGCTCCCGAGGGTCAGCCGGCACTCGGCCTCGCGCTCAACATCTTCGTGCATGCCATCATGTACACCTATTACTTCCTCGCCAGCTTCGGAGCCCGCATGCAGAAGTATTTGTGGTGGAAGAAGTACCTCACGACGCTGCAAATTGTGCAGTTCCTCATTATCATCGTGCACATGTCAATCCCTCTCTTCATTGACTGCGGATTCCCCAGGCACGTCGTGCACATAGCGAACGCTCAGACTTTCCTCATCCTCTGCCTGTTCATAAACTTTTACCTGCGGTCGTACACGCATTACAGCAACAAATCAAGCGCTGCCTCAGCGTCAGCGAACAGTGCAGTCACCGGTGCGCAGAGTAAAGAAGACAAGAAAGATTAGGCTGACAGAACTGACCCATTTTCTTCAGCCTACGCATTTCATTCGATTGCCTATTGAACGACAATGTTGCGCAACGCGGTGGTTTCCGAGCCAGCATAAGTAATAGTGAGTGCCGCAGCTGGGGAATGTAATCGACATTTAGTCATTTGTGATTAACGTAATTCCTGCCAGCTTAGCTACGTTTGTTATATATGGTGTTAGTATGTGTGATGAACAATTCACCCACTTTCGTGACAGCCATCATTTGTACAGATACGCGGAGAAGTCAATAAAGTCTCGGAGAAAGAAACATGGAGCCATAAACTGTTTAAACTGTACTTGCTTTCGAATATCTAGTGTCTGCAGAATCGTGCCAAAGGAAAATTACTCAACTAAGGGCCGAATTTCGAGGTTTGTAGACATTTTATTTGCTTCAGTGATTTCCCAGCAGTTTCATATATTGAACGCTGCCAAACTCGTACTACTCTTGCAATGTGAACAAAGTGTCCAACGTTATCACTTATTATAACTTGATATAGTAATTGACACTGCAAAGGGTGCGATACACATATCGGTCTGACTCAGAAACTCTTATACAGCAGTTACCATCACTTTTACTTAAAGCCTTGACTCTAAGCTCAATGATTCTTTTACAATGATATTCACTTGAAGACTCAATGAACCAATGTAGTCATATTTTTCGTCATGTCTAGATAATTTTTCTATCGACCTAAATCTTCCAACTCCTGCATTTTCTCGGCACATGAAGTTCTCGCCAATATATGGGCCTGGTGGAAAGTGTCTGGCGGAGTCACTTTTGTTGCGTCCTGCCAGGAGCAACCAGGTGTTCTCTTTGTAGACCACAAGTCTTTATTGTCAATTACTGTTACGCATGATGGCTACTAACAATCCCATTCCGGGCATTCATAGCATTTTGCTAAATAATTACAAAACAGTCTATATTTTCCAACATTTAGCAGTGGTTAGGAAGACAGATATCCTAAGACAATAGCCTAAGACAGATATTCTTAGACAATGTGGCTTTTGTTTCTCCGCAATTTTCTTAGCAAATTTTTACTGAACAACTACAGTGACGCTGCCTTCACTCAGACAAGTAAAACCACCTACTTTTCTAAAAAGCTATATTAGTTTCTTTGAGCTAGACATATCGAAGTAGTAATGGTGGCGTGAAACTAGTGGAACGATTCTTATACTGCAATTACTAAAACACGGAAAGAACAACTGAAGAAATGCAGCCACTATTATTCAGCTCTGTGTTGTGGTATATTTTGTTGCACTCAAACTTTATTGCAAGCCAAGGTTTGCCTTATACATTAGTAAAATAGTTCTGGGACAACTCAGACAAGAAAAAAAAACAATGATACTATTTTTAGGGGAATGAATATCTCGCTTATTAAAAAGGTTGGTAATGAATACGCGAAACAGCAAGCTTCTATCTTTAAACAATTACTTTTCACAGCGTAATCTTCATCATTTAGTCAAAAACAACAACAACAAAAGGCTGGTATAGTGTACGCGAAGCAGCCAGCTTCTGTTTTTAAATAAATTACATTTGACAGCGGAAGCTATATCATATTGCCTAACTGTGGTAATCCCTGCGCACTATTTTAAGCACAGGAAGAAGTTATGTTACAGTGTGAGCAAAGTATTGCTATATATACCGCAGGATCGCTCAAAATTCTTTCAAAATAACTTTTCGATGCACCAAGCGTTATACGAGCTTAAAAGGCCAGTAAACAATCCAGAAGGTCAAAAAATTGGTATTAAATTGCTATGCACCCTATTGCAATGTGAACCTGCCACCGCAAGAATTTTGCGGAGACGTACTAAAATGAGGAACTTGTAGGCGTTAGAACATCCCTTTCAGCTGGTTACAAACTTTCGCGTGGCCTCACCACCCTTCGCCGGCACAGGAAGAGGGAAGGCGCAGGCCGTCATCCTGACTTCGCCCACTTTGGCAACTTCACACGACGTCAGCAATACGTCAACGGCCCGCAGCCAACGATCGAGCCAGAATTCCCCACGTGAGCGCGTAGGGAAGTCCTGCGGAGCACGCTCCCCTGGTGGTAAAGCAGCAGGACGTCTCTTTATCTAGGAGACTCGTTCTGCCAATACCGACTGTGTCATTAGTCTCGGACTCTACGATGCGGCACAGAACAGCACAGCGAAACAAAATATGCGGCCGCATGACCCAAGCTGCGTCACAACAGGGCCAAGGTGCTATTTTGCAGGACAAAGGACTAAATCGATGAACTCAGTGTTACGTCAAGTTTCCCATGGCACAGTGTACGTACTCACGGTCAAGTTTGCGTCACTGCACGTACGAGGGAGATTGGTTCGAAAGAAAAAGGCGCGGTATTAAGTTTTCGAGATGAACGGTCCGTACGATGCTGTTTTATCCGTAAAATGTGATCGCCGCGGTTTACTGCATGAATTAGGAGCTAGCTTGAGGGGTGTAAAAAAGTTTACTATTTTTTTGTTCGGATTACTTCTTCAAATTGTCACTAAAGCAAAGTGTCACAGACAACGTCATTGCATCGCAGCCCACTGATAAGGCAATAACATTGAACTGCAATTATTCTTATACAGCAATCCTGCGTATTCATCTCAATAACTATTAGATAACGATCATCACTCATAAGTGTGCTCAGCTTCAGGTTGTCATTTTTCCTGGCCTGGAGACATTGGCTTGATTGACTGGCTCAGTTTATCGTCAATTTGTGTTATTCTCTTTGTATCCCGCGAATGTTTTAATTTTTCATTTTCTTATCCATCAATTCTACTGTAATACCAAATCTGTCCATGGTGCCCTTGAACCCATCAAGAAATTACCTCAGGCTCCCACGTTCACACTAGCATAATTTCAGCGTGACCGTTAAAGAGCTCGTTTCGCAGAAATTCAAGTGGCGGCGTTGATACCATTGGTCGTGAGTGAAAAATCAGCTTATGCGTGAGTCTGCGTGGGGATTGAACCAGAGTCATTTACGTGGCCAGCAGGGCCTCGCCGCGGTGGTCTAGTGGCTAAGGTACTCGGCTGCTGACCCACGCGTCGCGGGCTCGAATCCCGGCTGCGGCGGCTGCATTTCCGATGGAGGCCGAAATGTGGTAGGCCCGCCGTGCTCAGCTTTGGGTGCACGATAAATAACCCCAGGTGGTCGAAATTTCCAGAGCCCTCCACTACGGCGTCTCTCATAATCATATGGTGGTTTTAGAACGTTGAACACAACATATCAATCAATTGATTACGTGGCCAGCAGGTGTTCTATCACACAGCCATGTATCTGCTGCTTGTGCACACAGCGAAAAGAACTTCCTCTGCTTGGAAATTCAGTGAAAGGAACTTTCATGCTTTACAAACACACGCCTCCTGTGTACGTGCTTCACAATACAGGATGAAGTATTGAAGTGATAATGCTTGGTACAAGCGTACATTGCCATCGGGTGTCAGAACACATGATTATCATAAAGAAATTATGGTTTTAATGCTGTCGCCTACTTCAAAAGGCACAGACGTTACTACGCCAATTGTCTTCTGGCTATGTAGTCGGTGCCTAGCAGGTTCGAAAAGATCTCATGCACTAAGTGCTCGAAGTACGCACTATAGGGACAGGATGTTGCTATCGCGTTCAACTCTTAAAAGCCTAAGGGTCCCCTCATTTTTATCCATTTACTGGAAGAGCTCACTCTCTCTCGCTTTTAAAAAAGAAGTGACTCCACACGCTGAACTTGTTCTTAGCATCAATTAGATGAGAGCCAGTTGCTACGCATCAGCAAACTGCAAGCATAAACAATGTCATCATGTTGCAAAACCTCATGACGCCAAGCCGTTTTCCACAGTGTGTGTGTTTACGTAAAAGGTATCTAAACGATGCGTGTTCAGGCAGTTTACCCATTGTATAGCTTCTATGATATAGCTAAAAAAATACCTGAGGTGAGGAGAAGCAAGCAAAGCGCTCCGGTGTTTCACGCAGGAAAAATTGCAGCTAATTGGCATTGAGAGAAAGAATAGCCTGACCTAGGTAATTCGGCACATTGTTTTCAGAGAGATTTTTTTTTATGAAACTCTAGTGGCGCCAAGCTTAAAACCAGTCATGAAAGGAAGGGTGTTTCAGTTCCACTTACGTCACCGGAAAACTGCGTCAGAATGCGGCTCATGATGGTCATGATGATGGCCTAATTGTATGGCTCACACCCACTGTCCGGGCTTGGCCAAGCTCGCTATTTCTTTTTCTTCTCTACATGTCTGGTGTCGTCGTCTATTAGCTGGGTTTAACTGTTGCCTTCAGTTTTAGTGGACCGGTGGCGACTAACATAGAGAGGGTACTCTGGCGCTGCGATCGTTCAGTGACCATGGGAATGATGGGTATGGCATGTATTTACCTAGTCTTCGTGCTTGCGGGCGGCGAATCGCGCTCGTGGCTTCGTCTATCACTGTGTTTTGGTCTTGTTTCGAATGAAAGAATCGCACGTTTCGAGCTTCGTGAACTGATTTGAAACGCTGATCCTAAAAGGTGAATGTGGTGAAGCGTAACTGCCAAACATTTGTCCATAGTTATTTTTTTCGGGACAAATCACTCTAAGCTACACAAAGCCAGAAGGAACGTAAAGTACGAATATTAGGCATATTCATGTACTACCCATAATTCCTGTGCTCGTTAAAATTACTATGTGTTGCAGCTGTCATAGACGCTAGCTCCAGGGTTCCCTCTAGTGTATATTAGGAAACTCTATGACGACTAAAGTACCATCACTTTGCAGATATGTTTCTAGGAGTAGTGTATCATGTAACTGACTTCACTGTAGATTCCCCACCTTGACAGAATTGGCAATAGTTTGTCTTTTGGCAACACTGTGGATGACAGATAACCTACCCTCACACATGCTTTCTTATTTTCTTGTTTTACACAGCTCATTTGGGCAGCACACGTTCACATATACATCTCATTGCTAATTTTTCTGCCCGGAACAGTCGAAATTTACACTATGTCCAGCAAGGCCACTCCTAGTGACACTTGCAAGTTTCTGCTGATTTCGGTCTATTAACTTGCTTGTAATAAAGCGGCAGGAAGAGAGCAGAATGGCTTTTGGAACAGACGAGTGTTAGGGATATCGCAGTTGAAGTGGAGAAGAAATGGGCACTAACCGGGCACGTAGCGCGTAACCAGAGAACAAAACTGGTCATCATAAGTTAGTTACTGGATTCCAAGAGTAGGCAAGTGCGTGAGGGCGAGATAGAAAGTTTGGTGGGCAGATGAGATTAACAAGTTTGCGGGTACAACGTGGTAGCAGCAAGCACATG